GTTTATCTAAAGCTAATAGTTTAATTTTTTTTCAAGAGTGTTTCTGGAGTTATTAACATATTTCAAATTTAGTTTCACTCTTCCATTATAAATAAATAACCAGATTTCAAATGCAAAGGCAGAGATGATATTTCTAGAACAACCATCTCTGCTTCCGTCCTTCAGCAGCTGCCATTCCCCTGTCATCCCCTTCCCTGGCACACATGGAAGCAACTTCCTAGGAAGCTGCATATTCATGACTGTTCCTGGAGGGCATTTTAGCCTCCATTGTAATGCAGTGGACAGAAGGAAACAAGCTGGCCTCAGTATCTTATAAACCATAAGCTGTGTGGAATCTCACTCTCAAGAATCTTTGCAGAATATATTTGTTCTTCTTCTTTTGCTTGTGTTAGAACAAAATAGTGCAATCCCAAATTGTAAAACCTGGTGATATAGGTGATGGTTGTTAAGCATTTAAACTACATTATTTGAAAAGACAATGAAAGGTTAGTTAAATACATATATGGGTCACCTCAGCCCATTTTAGGTTGCTCACTGCAGTCAAGTCACACACGGAGCTTTCGTATGTCAATGTATGGAGATAATTTGATCTAGTTCTAATTTCTGTTATGTCTTATTAGTGTCGTGACAACAAATTCCCAGTGAAGAATTGCCCAGACCTGTGTAAGTCTGATGAGCCTTGACTTAATTCACATCAGATTTGTCTTTTACTGCAGACAGTGTCACGCCACTGCGCACCAGTTAGAAATGTTTCATTTAATCTGACAGCAATGCTCGAGCTTGTGAAAGATGCAACACCAACAACTCAAAGCAATTTCTGTCTGCGTCTGAAAGCAAGGAGATCCTGCATTATGTACTTACAGGCACTTGCCTTTTTTGCCGTATCATCTACATCTTATATCATGGAGCATCCGATCACTGATTCCTGCAAGGGGTTGCCCCTTAAAAATCCAAATTTATCCAGTTTACCATCATTACAGGAGCAGTTGTTATTACAGTTAAGACACTGGTACCAGTAAAATGCTGACTTATAGATAAGGAAGCAGGATGACACAAGTCTGGTCCTATATGATTTAAGTGAGTGGCAAAATGTCTATTAATCTAAATCACAGGCAGGATCAGACCTGAAGCAAGCTGGACGGCTGAAATAGCATGCTGGACAGTTTGTAAACATGGGGAAAAGAGTATGTATAATTATATTCCTTACAGTTTCTCATTTTAACTGTTTCCTTAGCAAATTGGTTGTGCCATTTGTGCTCCTTGGTGAGATCTTGCTTCTGATGAGTTGCTCTCTGTCTCCTTAATAAGAATTTTGGAACCAGTGGCCAGGAGTCAGTCAGGGCTCTTAAGCATTGAAAGAAATACATGTGCCTGCTGGCATGACCCAGTTTTTCTAAACTACTTCCATGATTGTTAAATCACTGGCATATTTATTGGCTAATCAGCATAAACAGCCAAAGAGCTGCAATTGCTTTTGTCTTTGCTCCATAGCTATTACACATAACATATATTACACATAACTCAGAAGCTGATGGGTTCTTTCAAACCTAATAGAAAACCATTCTCCCTTTTTTCCCCGAGTTCTATTGCAGAAAGGATAATGTAGAAATCACAAATTATGTTTTCAGAAGATAAGGTCCAATAGGTATTTGGCACCATACGTTTAGTTACCATGACAAAACAATTATATCTCTGATTTTCAGAGGGTCCCATAGTTGGGCAGGGGCACAACGGACCACTTCACTCCTCGAGCAGAAGGTGCTCAGTGAAGCTACATCCTACAAGCTTCTGCTTTCCATAGCGATTATCCAGCCCTCTGCCCAAGTCTGAGCCCTGCTCCTTTCCTCAGCACATGGGTTCAGAAACATGCCACTGCTGATCAAGTTTTAATATGTGCCCTTTAATTTCTGCCTTTGTGTAACGTAGCTGAGAAGAAACACAGGCATTCGTTCTAGTCAGACTTTAGTGCAATGCTTGGGAGAAAGATATGCTGGAGGAAATTACATAAAATGGTATTTCTGTGCTCTGGTTGCTTTGCGCCTTGCTGAAGTGTGCAGTTGCTACCTGTTAATTAACTGCTAGCAGTTAACAAATGCATCCATTTCCTGACAGAATTGCATTGAATTCCTTTCCAATATGTCAGATCTTTTTGTCTTACTCTTCCTCTCCTAGATCTCATTTGTGTCTGGTAAATTGGTTTCTGGAACACAGTCTCACACACTTGGCTTTTGAGATAGCTTTCTTCTCTACAGGACACTCTTATATACTGTACCTTTAAGTACCCAAATCAATTTAATTAAATTTCATTACAAGCACTAGAGCTGAAACAAACTAATGAAAGCAGCCATCACATCAGGTGGTATTTATCTCGGCATTAAATTGAAAATACTCCCTTTAGGCTCTTAAAAATTAGTTTAAATATTTAACACTAATGGCTTTTGAAATTGTTGATAGGGATAGTTTTAATGAATTTGTTACAAACTGTTTACCTTTGCAAGGCAAGCAGCTTGTGTCTTGAGCAGCGGAGAGCTAAAGAGCTTTAAGAGATTTGACAAAAAATATTGGTTTTGGAGTACCATCAAGTCTGGGAGCTGCCCACAGTGAGGTTGAAAAGCACTCTGAAATTTTTCACACAGTGGAGGCATTACACCTTGACTAGTCATTACTTTAGTGTGAACTTAATATGTGAATAGCTTTACTACTTTTTTTTTAACAGAAAAAATAAGAGGCTGTTTACAAGAAAATAGATTATCAGAAAACTGTAACACAGAATTAAGCAGTCATGATTCTTGTAAGAACAGACCTCAGAGAGAGGGGAAGAAGGGAACTATGCTTGCAAAACAGGATGTCTTCTCACATGTTTTCAGGGTCATTTTTATAGTAATTACTGTGCAAGTTAAGGTTAATGTAAAATATAAAAATAAAGCTTTCTGTATTCCTTACAGTCTTGAGCCATGGATAAAATTATTGGACTCAAGCCGATCTTTTTTAAAAAGAGATTTGTTCTTTTTAAAATATATACTTAAGATATTTCTAATAATTTCCAATTTAATTAAATTTCCAGTTTAATTCAACATTAAGAACTCAAGGCATCATGTACCTTTTCTTTATTTTTTTTTAATATCCCTGTTGTTTCTCCAGGTTGGAACACTCAGATTGTACAGAAGTTGTTTGCCAGAAATGAAACATTATATTTAGCAAATTTTGTTTTTGATAAGTGGTATTAAAGATTATCTATTTCTTTCTCAAGTTATTTGTACTACTTAATTTATTAAGTATTTTTCTTCCTTACTATCTTTTTGCATGGGACCACAGTGGAACACTTAGATGCAGTTCAGTGAAGTGTCAGAAACATAAATTTATGGACAAATACTGACTCTCCATGCTAAAGAAAATAGTGACTCTAGTACAAAAGCCATGGCCCAAATTTCATCCTTCTTTTCTTTTAAACTTACAGCTGAGACACAAGCATGGTTATACAAATGCAGTACTTAAGAAGCACAGACTTTGTAGCTATGTGACAAGTTTATCTATCCTAATTTGCTTCCAACTGTTCTCTCTGAGTTAAATACAAGTACCTTCTTTCCTCCTGCTGCTTTTAAAACAGAGAAGTTTCAGGCTCTGGCTGATTCTCTCCTACTTAAAAGCTTTGCAGAAAGGGAGGTTTTTCCTGCAATTTGGAGAGCCTGTGGTTTTCCTGGGGGCCACAAAGAGAGTCCAGGATGAAGGCCGCGGCTAACAGGAAGATCAAGTTAGAGCACTCAAATCAGAGGGGTGATGCAGCCTGGGTGTGGGGTAGGAGTAATCTTTACTATCCCAAGGGAAAATAGTTTTTCCATAAGGAAGCGGAAAATCCTGGCTCTTTTCTCACAGCATTTTTGTGCTTATTTTTACTCAAGATGTCATTGCAAAATTTTGTTTAGCATCACACTAGGTGCTGGACTCCATATCCACTATGATCAACACGGCTTATTTTTAAAGGCTTTTACCTTCAATGCAAGACTGGGGATACTCAATTTATGCTACAGAGTTAGAATCTGTAAATGATTGAAGATATCTGAAATACTCTAGACTGGTAATGGGGCTGGCAAAAGCCAATTTATTCTTTCATCGTATTTTTCAAACTATTTTTAATTCCTGTTTAAAAATGTACAGTTCATTATTTCTTTCCTTGTTTTGGATTATTACATCATTATAGGAACAAAACATGAATGATTTAAAGTCTTTGTTTTTTTCTAAACTCGTTGGTTCTAGAGTTTGTAAAACTTTGTATCTTTTGAGAAAACATCAGTTTTAAAAGCAAGGAATGGGATTTCTTTCTGCACATTTCAAAAAAAATACAATTGGGAAAAAGTCATTTTTCTTCACTCACACATGAACTAATGGGCAGCTAGTAAGTTAATGGGACTGTTAATGATATTGAAGTATTTATGACAGGCTTGAAAATCCTGGAGTTTCACCATTTATATATTCTATAATTTCCTACTAAGAAATGATTTAAGTAAAACCTTATTTTCACTATAAAAACAAGCTCAGTCCCATGATTTGCAATGTCTTCATCAACCGAATGCCATTTAAAATGTGAATTTAGAGGCAGGGAAAAACAGAACTATTAACAACAACAAAAACAAAAAGCAAAAGCAAAACTGAAACATTGCCCGGTGTTTTCACGATTTGATTCGTTCAGAAAGGTGGAATCCATCATCACTACTTTGCAGAGCTTTCTGCATTTTAACTCTGCTCCTGGTTCCTGACGTACTGCGGTATGTCATACCCTGCGCTGCCCAGAGTTTTGCCAGGGGCAGGAAATGGGGAGGGAATTGCTGCTGGGAAACGCAGGATCAAACCCTCCCGGGGTGCGGTGGCCGCTGGCTTTTGGCCATGAGAGGAGCCCTAGAGACCCGTGTGTCCTGCATGAGGGCAGGGCTGTGGGGCGCAGGGGCTCGGGGGCGCCCGTGCTCGCTGACCGCGGCGCCGACGCTTGTGTCGCCCTCCCGCAGGACGGATGGTCGCAGTACCACTTCGTCGCCTCCTCGTCGACCATCGAGCGGGACCGGCAGCGGCCGTACTCCTCGTCCCGCACGCCCTCCATCTCCCCGGTGCGCATGTCTCCTAACAACCGCTCAGGTAAGGCCGGGCCTTTGGCCGCCGCCATGTCGGGCACTGCCCCTCTCCACCATCAGCAACCCCACTGCTCTGCGCGCCCGTTAACAGCACGGGAAGACCACAGAAACTCTTGTTTTGCCTCGTTTTGCCTCTTACCTGGGCTATCTGTTTAAAGCAGGAGTGAGTTTTTTCTACGAAAGTTAAAAGATGGGCATTATTTCTAGGATTATATCTAGGACTAGAGGAAACGGCCAAAAGCCGAGGCACCAAAAATTCCACTGGAACTTAAGGAAACACTTTTTGACAGTGAGGGTGCCAGAGCCCTGGCACAGGCTGCCCAGGGAGGCTGGGGAGTCTCCTGCTCTGGAGATCTTCCTAACCCGCCTGGATGCCGCCCTGTGCCCCGTGCTCTGGCTGTCCCTGCTGGAGCAGGGGGGTTGGACTAGATGGTTTCTAGAGGTCCCTGCCAACCTCAACCACTCTGTGATTTATAATCAGTTTTTCTTCTCGTATATATATATATATGTATTTATGTGTGGATGTAAATGTCCATACACACGGACATATAAAGAAAGATTGACTTAAGGTGCTCATCTAATATTGATCCCATTGTAACTCCCATTAACGGTTTACGATACATGCAATGGCTTTTTATGCAATTATCTCAGTTTACGCCATGGTGTTAATTACACTGTATTCAAAAATTTGGACCTTTTGCCCTCTGTTTATTTCAAGGTAAAATATACTCTGGTTAGATACAGCTATTCTCAGTGAAGGTCAAGTTTTTTTGCATTGAACACAGTAAAATAGTCAGCCTCTAAATGTGCTTTTTACTACTTTCTCTATCAAGTGCTGTCAGCCCATAGATGTGTCAGGAGTTCAGGGTTAAGGTAGCCAAACTGGTGATTACCATCAGCATCACACAATCATGGCATTTGTAAGAAAATAGCTTGGTTAATCGTCTGGAAGCTGCATCTTACTCCTGTGGAGCCACCACTGAGGATTTTTGAAAATGTGCCCATAAGTTTAGCCCAGTGAGAACTGCTGCAGCACGCTGGTTTTTTTTTTTTCAAAATCTGTTGATTAAACAAGTCCTTGCTTTTTTTTGGTTTTTTTTTTTTTTTTAGTTTCAACTTGTCTGTTTGTGCAAGGCACTTGAAATGGCTGGATGTGAGATCTTTGTTCCAAGTTTGCTCTCTTGCTTAAAGAGGCCACTTAAAGAGATGGTTAATGAAATCTTACTGCTGTTATCAAAAGATTGGACAAAGACAAACACAGGGACTGTCTGTGAAAGTGGAAGAGCCCATATAATCACAGCCTAGTCAGCTTAACTTTAGTCTCCAGAAGTTTACTGGAACAAATACAATCCAAGCACCTCAAAAGTGATAGGGGCATAAGATACCCCTTGCCTTGCTGGAATACCCACTTCTGCATAGTACTGCAGGTGACAGTCATTCTGATAGAAAGCATATCAAATCCAAACTGGTTCAACAAAATATGTTCTTGTAAAATCCGTCTGCATTCATGCTACAATATAGGACTATGTGGACATGAACAGTCAGTGAATTAAATCTACTCTAATGAGCAACAGTTCACACTATTTGATGCAGCATTTTCATAGGCAAGCTTGAGAAACATAATCCACAAAAATGATATTTAGGGTGAATGTGAATCTGTCTGGAAAATCATTGTCAAAGAATAAGTATTGTCCAATGCCAAAATAAAAGGATGTTTTGCTTAGGAGTTTGCAATGGGTCCTGCACTCTTCAGTGTTTTCATCAATGGCCCATATAGAACAAAAGAGGGCATTATCAGAATTCAGAATGATCCTGAGAAATTGGAGATTTCTATCCAAATGGGGAAAAGAAGATCCTATTTTTCTTATACAGACAAGAGTTCATTAGATAAAAGTTGTGCAGAAAAGTCCTAGGGATTTTTGTGAACCACAAACATGAATCAAGAAATGGAGAAGTCAGTATATGAGGATGAGTGAATGGCCTGTGATTAACTTGAAGGAGGCAGACCCAAGATGAGGGCTCTGAGAAGAGGCACACGTTAAGTATTCAAGCATGTATCTGGCAATTGCCAGATAGAGGAATGGTATAATCTTTCTCTATTACCATGGCAGAGCAACAAGCAATTAGGTGAGACATTGGGACCATTTCCTAACAGTAGGGATGCAAAGGAATAGAGTGCTTGGAGCAGTTCCATGGTCTCTCTCATTAGAGATCTAATCTGTCCGGAATTATCTTGGTAAACTGGATCCTATCTTGGGGTAAAGCACTGTAGAAGGTGAACATATGATGTCCTATGCATCCCTATGGTTTGATGATACAGCACTTTAACTAGTATAGAGAGATCCCTCTTCTCTTTTGTGTCCTTTTAGGATAATAAGCAGAAAGCTTGAGAAGCCTTTCAGTCTAATGACAACTAATGACTTTATGTCTGCTTCCAATAAAAACCCTGCAAGAGGCCACATCTGGATTTTAACACTTGCCAGAAAGCACTTGTTCTGTGGGACAAGAGGTGTAATTCCCACAGCAAAGAGAGGGAGATGTTTTCTCTTTATCAGCCAGTGTGTACAAAACACCAGAGTGTTTGGCATCACTAGAGCATGTGAAACGAGGTGTATCCACGTGTTAGCAACCTTCTCAAGGTTTGCATTCTGTTTTGCCTCCTCTTGGAGTCGTGTACCCACTAGCTGATTTGGTGACGTCATGTTTCTTTACATCTGCTGGATTAGCAGCTTCAGAATTACCCCATTATTGACAAGCAAATGTGAAGCAATCCCCAATTTTCACTGCTTCATAAGAAAAGACGTCTGTCCCACGTTTGCTTTGTGGGAATTCAGAAACCAGAGCCCGAAAAAACCTGTCTGAGCAGAATGCATCTTTAGAGCACAAGTACTTCCAGTGCCTTATATAAAAACTCTACCATGGTTTTAGAGACACTGAGACATAGCTGCTGATTAAGCTTAAGAAAACTTCGCTTATTCTTTTTATTTTTTAAAAATTTTCCTTTGCTTCCCTTCCCTTCCCTTTCCCCTTTCCCCTTTCCCCTTTCCCCTTTCCCCTTTCCTTTCCTTTCCCCTTTTCCCTTTCCTTTCCTTTCCTTTCCTTTCCTTTCCTTTCCTTTCCTTTCCTTTCCTTTCCTTTCCTTTCCTTTCCTTTCCTTTCCTTTCCTTT